ATAATGATGACGATATTTGCGATTAAATGTCGTCCTCGATGCGTAGGCAGCAAAAATCGGTATATACCGTGTTTTGTATACCTATAGAATTTAAATTTCTCCGAACCAATTACGCATACTTATGTCTTGTGTTGTGTGTGGATTCACACAATGCGCTCGTCGCCGTAGTCCGCGGTCGGCGGTAATTAGCATAATAATTAAAAAACCTATTGTGTGAAGAAAATAAAGGCGGCTGATGGCCTGCGTTGCTAATTGTTATAGATACTATATATACGCGTGTTCGTATAATATATGATTACAAAAAACGCACTGTAAAATTTAATTTCCCATCAACCGCGGTGTACCCATAGCACTGCAGCGGTAACGGTCGCCCGAAGCTTCATTACGATACTACAAATTTTTATATTATATAATATTATATTATGTACCTATACGGCAGCAGAATCACAGAACGTATGTTCTACGGTAGAACGGGTGCGAAATATTATCGAAAATATGATTCCGGTGCAACAGACAAATCCTATCCCCCGGGATATTCTCAGTTCTCACCTAAAGTATATGATTTTCCTAGAATAATTTTATCCCCGGTAAGATATTCCTATAATGTTATCTTTATTACAACCTGGTAAAATTATCCGAGGGTGAGATTTTACCTCGACACCGGTGACACACAGGCGTGCGAGGGTAGCTATACTCCGTCCCATAAGATTTTCTCGATAAACGATCATGGGTAAACGCTGATAAACTTAAAAGTAAATATATTCTGAGACGATCACCGCAGCCACTATACACTTTGTAAGTAGGTAAGCGATCGTTTATTAAAAGTGAGTGCCTATTTATAGCGATAAAATAAAATGATCGATTTGAAAACGTTGTTAAGTCCTCTACCGGACCACCCCCTCGAGGTCAGCGTCCGAAGGTTTAACGTATAAATGCCGTACTTACGCGATACGTTATAGGTAATATATAATATGTATATAATAGGCCATAATCGGTGCCAACAATTTCGAGACCACTTATTTCAGAGGCCATCGGAGGAGCTTAGTGATGTTATGTGCAAACAGGGTATGGGGCTTAGCTACCCATTTTAAAATTGTACTCCCGAATACTACACTCGACGTCAATAATGGGTATTGTAAACTATAATACGATGTATTGTCGATTATTTGTTTGAAGACAAAAAACAAAGGTTGTTTTTATGACTTAAGAGGCATCAAGAGGTATAAACAATGTGTTCAACGATAAAGGTAACACGAAATATTTCGAACTCATGAAATTGAATTTGGATTTTTTTACCACATAAAGGACTTAAAACTACGCATGTTTTTCGGCACATGCAAAATACAACATTGAACATATTTTTATGCATGAATCAAAATTTTGGTCGAGTAAGTCAATTTTTTGAATAGAAAAAAAACTTTGTTAATGTAGAAAACATTTTTATCCAGGTGTGTCCGTCCAAGTACGTGAGCATAGTTACGATTGTTTGTATTAATATTTTACAACTGTTTTATACAAGGGCAGAACTCCGATTATGTCCAGGGTTGGCCCGGATAAACAAATACCGGGATATAATTTAAATAATACAACACATCATAAGTTATACATTTTATACATAAAGTCATAAACAAATAATTATAATTCTATAAAAATGAAAAATAACGAGCTATAAAAAGAAAAAACAAACCAGTAAATGTGTACTAGCCAGTAGGTATTACAAATTATCATCTGTGTATTTAATATAGTTTCGTTGGTACTAACTACTAGCCAATATTAATAGGAGCATTGCAAGTACCAAAATACCATAAAGCAGAGTTTCTGAGACTGTGAATATCGACTCACTGGCGATTACGATTTTTGAAACGGTTAAAACATAAATTATAAAAATATTAAGTAGGTATAATAAATCCCGAAAATTATCGAAGGGTTTTAAAATGATTATTATTATTGTTATTATTCATTATGATTCGTATCGTGCATTTAGTAATAATAATAATGGGTATTTTTGGCGATTTTAGGAAATTTTCAAGACCCTCGATCTCAAGTCAAAAGAAAAGGTCTTGAACTTCGGTGAGAATAATAAACTTCATAAAAACAAGGCCATTTCAATCACGATTACTTGAAAAGTTGTACAAGGAGATGGGAAGTTCTCATAAATCACTTCTCTTGTTCACTGAAGTATTTATTTTGAGCTCACGTATTTAACAGACATATTTTCGAAACCTAATGAACTAAGTTTATATTTTCAATGAACTGAGGAATCCAAGGAATCGATATATTTAGATTCATAAAAAAATTAGATATAGTTTAAAGGACAAAAATTACCGATTTTTTTTAAATTTGTATACAGAATTATAGTTAATTGCGTTGTATTAAAAAACGTTTAGAAACTATTAATTTAGCACCACAGCAGAGTGATCTTTCCTATAACTGGTTATAATATTTCAAACGAAATAAATATTTTGTGTATCGAAGAAGAAGAGGATGTTAGAAACGTACATGTATTTACTATTTATTTGATCTTGATACATAGTATGTGTCCGACAATTTAATTTTAGTTTTGATGGTAACAAAAATTCTACACCTTAGGTGGCCTTAAAAATGTCGCATTCAATTTTAAGCATTACTAAAATGTTTGAGAAGCACTGCAGTATATTGTCATTTATGCTAAGTAAGAAAACATTATTTTCTCATAGAGACTGGTCATTTTGCCTATGATGTTCAAATGGTATTGGGCAATACAAAAATATTTTATGTAAGGCACATTGTAAATAAATATTGAAAATAAAGCTCTTCAACAAAATACATTATTAATTCATTACTAACCTTCATTCATGGGTTGGTGCAATATTATTTTTCTGCATTCAACACATAACTACTTATGTCGAATTTTTTTACAAGTTAACGTTTACGTGTGTTTATAATTATAGTTAATTCATTATATCATTTAATTTTTGATAAACTCGAATTGTTCATTTTGATATTCATTAATAATATTATATGAATATATGATATTTTTTGAAAAAAACAATTGTCAGTCTTTTTAAATTTACACATGACCCAATATTATTCATAATTAATGAGTGCACTCCAAAAATATTATTAGGTATAAAACAATAAAATACAAACACCAGTGATACACTAACGGGTACTAGAAGATAATATGGAAAATTATTATATTTTAATGTATGATAGTAAATTATTGGTCACTTGAAATAGATTTATCAAATTGATAAATGCATTAAAACTAGTCAACGGTTCATTTGGCAATACACTACTTGGTTTGTATAAGCAGTTTTTTATCAACGTGTTATTGTAACAATTTAATTTGTCTAATTTGTCTAGTGATAAAATATATATGATTGAAAATTATATCCAAACAGTTCTAGACGATTTTGTCTTTAATGCACAATGTATCTATTTTTTTTAAATTGTATTTAAGCTAGTGCAGGAATTCGATTTTATAATATTGTTTTGTTTTAGATTTCAAATAAACTATTGTTTAACTTAAAACGATTTGCCTATTTGTTTCATTAACAAACAATTTATAAAATTAATATGGCGTTATTGTGTTACTTTCTTAATATTTTTCTGTGTATACTATCCGATATACAATGTCGGACAATTATACCACAGAAGTTATAGAACTATATAAAGGTTTTTTATTAAAAAATGTATTCACTTGTTTTTTAAAAACTAATTTAAATATTTATGATTTTTATCGATAAAAAATAGTATATTTAGAATTATTTAAATAATATTAATATAATTATGTTATCGCTTCTGATATGCCATGATGTATCTATTTTATTCTATATTTTATCTCATTTAAGCTAGTGCAGAAATTCAATTTTACAATATTGTTTTGTTCTTGATTTCATAAAATTAATTATTGTTTAAACGATTATCACCTATTTCTTTCCATTACCTTTAAACAATTTTTAAAATTAATAATATGTTATTTTTCTGTATCGGAAAATATCCGAGTGTTACAATATATTATATTGTCATTTATTATTTCTCGCCATCCGGTGGACTTTTTTTTCCCAACTCCAT